ATGATGATGATGATGATGATGATGATGATGATGATGATGATGATGATGATGATGATGATGATGATGATGATGATGATGACGCATTCCTACCAACAAGGGACCCGAAGCAGCTCACAACATTAAAATTCACGCAATTTAAAAAATAAATTAAACGATATATGATTTTAAATACAATTAAAACATTAAAACATTAAGATTAAAATTATCTGCTAAAATGGGGTTCAGGGCAAGTTTCTGTATGTATTGTAATCCATAACATGCCCATGGATGCCTGTGGATTGCTAGAAACTATGCTGCATAATTCCAGCCACTTTTCTTGGAGATTATGTTTTGTCCAGAAATGAAGAAAAATCTCTAGGAAAAAAAAAGCATTTATTTAATTTTTCCTATCCTGCAGTTCTTTAGCCACCTAGGGCTGATGATAGAATTATTTCCTTCTTTGTGTGAATTGTGAGCCAATGTATACTCACCTGAGGGCCAGTCCCATTGCATTCAGTAGGGCTTGCCTTTAAGTAAACATACACAAGATTTCCCCAACTTTCCCCCCCCCAAAAAAACCCAAGGTAGATAACACACTAAAACCATTGAAATTTCAACTATCATCTTTAACATTCCAAAAATAACATCCAACCAAACGAAAAGATCAAACACTAGGAGGTTTTTGGTTGTTCCCCCTCCCCGTATGTCATTAAGGTTTGGATATCAGATTTCACTGAAATTTCTTAATAGGGTTTTTAAAAAATGATGAGTGCTAAGAAAAATGGGAGAAGGCAGGGCAGGGTGTAAGTTCGCTATAGGGCAAACTCTTGTGGTTTGCTATGCATGCAAATGTTGCAATTTCATGAGTGCCTAAGGTGGTGAGGGGGTGTCTTTCCTTATGACTCAGAAGGTATGCTGGGATCCAGGTCCAGATGAGTTGTACAATTTGCATCTGCTGGCAACAAATGAAAGGCACTGAAAGGCAAACGAAACAGTTCTGGGCAATGAAGTCCGATGAAACAAACACTTTCAAAACCAGTTACTATCAGTGTCTAACAGTCCCTCTTTTTGCTACAGTTCATTGGAGTGGAAAAACATTTTCACCATTGTGAAATATGAGGGAAAAGCCATGAAGGGCCATTGAAGATAAGCAGCACATGTGGGGGGGGGGGAAGTGTCTCAAGGAGCCTCTGCCTTAACAATGGCTGACATATTTCTCAAGATACAGTTTCCTGTCTTAAATGCTAGCAGACCACATGAAATAATTAGCAGTTACCCCTAACAAGGGAAACAGTAAATTCTGTAATGCAGACAAGCATTTTCTCTCTTGGTTTTACTGCCAGGATGAAATACCACATAACTCTTGTGACAAATTTCCATGCCAACATGTGTAAAAGGGTGCAAGATAAATGTCCTAAGAGGAAGAGTGAGAGTGTCACTGTTGAGGTGAGTAGGCCAAGACTCATCCTCTAGATTCACTGGATGTGAAAGTGTGTAGACAAGAATGGACATTCAAATCAAAATGCCATCTGTCAACATAGCTACCTAGTCCATGACGTCCAACTAGCCATCCCCCAAAGGTGAACAAGGGTGAGACACAGGTGAACAAGGTGAGAATGGTCTTTTGCAATGAGATACCAGGGCTGAAATACAAAATGATCACCTCTTGCCATTCCAGATTTAGGCTGTGATTACATTTGCAAATGCTGTGGTATTTGGTATGAGTGTAACATGGGTATGTGAGGCAACTGAGAAATTTGTGGAACATGGAACCTGAAATCCATTTGGAACATTCAAGGCTTCTTTGTGAATGCCTGGGAAAAGCTGGCTGAGAAAGCAGTATTGGTTAAAAACAATGGGGAAAGTGATACTTTCAACTGATTTCCTGTCTAAGAGGAAACTCCCACATTATCTCTTGTCATAAAAGCCAATCTGCCTCCTTCTCTGGAGTCATGCAAAATTAAACCAGGGTTACAGCTGTATGAAAGGAAGAGGGGAAGAAGGTACTTTTTTGTCTTGGTTAACATGAAAGGAAATTAAGATGTTAAGACAGATCTGGAATAAGCATTTAATGTTTAAAAGAGATGCAGAAAACTGATTTGTCAACTTAGCCTGGACTATCTCAAAGGAAAGAGGGCTTCCATGATGCCTATAAGGATGCACTCTTAGTAAAGGAAAGAGGGCTTCCATGATGCCTATAGCATGTCTAATTACACAGACCCTGTATGACAACGTGTGAGTATCAGATAGATCAGTTTAGCTTTGCTATTTTCTGGAGTGGCTTCTTTGTGGCTTAAATTTTGACTCAGAATCTGTATTTAACTCCAAGGAAATTTGAAACTTTCTTGTAACTTTGTGGAACCTTTCGTCTTTTTCCTTTTTTATTCTTTATCCTTTTCTTTCTTTCTTTTAATAAAATATACAAATTTCTTCAGTCAACTGTCTACATTTTTGGACTTGGAAGGTTTGTGGTACTTTTGGTATTTGTTTGGGTGTGGTAGTAGCTCTCTACTCTTGCAAGGTAGGCAAAAGTACTTAAACTTGTGGATTTTTCTGGATTCCCTACAGACAATGCCATATCTGTGTAGAATGGTACAATTCCAGTCAGGTTCCACAGCCTTCACATCTGACTCCTCCCTGTGCTCACCTACCCCAGGACAGGCAAGAAGGTTGTGTGGTTGAGTGGCTATAGAGAGGGACTCTGACTGGGTAACCACCACAGGATGAATTCACCTTTTTTTTCACTGACCATATGATCACATGGCCAATTCAAATCAGTTTGGTCCTTCTTGGTTCTGATGTGGAGTTTTCTGTACCACAGGGGGCTTCTATTTTTTTCAAGTTACAATGATTCAAATGATGTTTTCCTTGTATGATCAGCAGTTTCATTCTCCAAAAGGATGCAGGTCATGACTAAGAGTGGTTAGGTCATCTCTGCACAGACAAAAAAAGAGATAACAATTGATATGAAATAAAAACAACTCTAGCAAACTACAACATATTACTGTATTTCTACAATATGTGTTTATATATTTATACATTATCAAGTACTTTGAAAAACTGTCCCTTTTCTCTAATGGTGTGCAACACTTTGAAAACCTCACCAGCTTTACAATTAACTAAAACAATCAACAGTCACAATTTGATCATCTTATCCAGTGGTCCCCAACCTTTTTGACACTGCGGACCGGTTGAGGGGGGGATGGAGTCTGTCCATGGGGGGGACACCCTGTGTTCATGCGCATGTGCAAAGGGTTGGTGCTTGTTTTTTCAGGCGCACGCACACTTGCATGCAAACATGAAGGAACAGGAGTGGTCGCACGGCACGTGCACACACTTGCACGCATGTGCAAATGGGTGCCAATGCTCATGGTGCGTGCACACTCGCATGTGCGAAGGGGCTGTGCAGGTGTGGGGGGAAGTACATGCAGGGGTGTGTGAAGATCTGTGTCCACAGCCCAGGACCAGGGGTTGGGGATCCCTGATCTAATCCAAACTGAAGTGTAAACTAGGACGTGGATTAAGGTGCAGCTGCCAATTAAGACACAGTGTAGTAGCAGCCTTAGACTGATAGCCAAATCTTATTTTAACACTTCTTTATACCTAAAGCAACAGATTAGCAAATGAGACCCAGGACAGGAATTGGTAAAAGGCTGCAAATGGTATCTTGTAATTTGTGCTGACTGTTTGTTTGCCCTTCAGTTTGTGCTATGTCACAATCCACCAATACAGGAAAACCCTGTCCTGTGTGTGTGGTGTGTGTGTGTGTGTGTGTGTGTGTAAAAGTGTGTGTATACATGTGTCTTTTCTCTTCAGAGTAGTGCCACTGGAAGGCTCTACTCTGAATGTGCCCTTGGTTCAATATCATGTGGTTGAATATATCTGAGCGCAGTAATACCAGCCCATCATCATATACTGTACATTATAAGATCTAGATGGAATTCTGTAATTGGGAACAAAGAGAGAGAGCAAAAGTGGCAGTGGACTGGGGAAACAATCAAAATGTATAATGGAATGAGGTTTGGGGAAGTACCCCACAGATTCTCCTCACCATCCCAGAACTCTGACTTTCACACAGAAACTGAATGTCACAAAAATTTGCATTGTGCTAATGAACATACACACATCATTTTCTCTATTCACATTTTCCCCATTATTCAGTACAATTGGGTGCACTCCTGATTATCCCATGCTGTAGTCTGAGTGATTGATCCGTTCCCAAATAGAGCTGTGGGTTGCATTCTCTGTTGTAACATTAAAAGTGGTGACAGAGAAACCCCTTCCTCTATTTTTGCCTTCTCTGTTTTGAACCCCTTCCTCTATTTTTGTCTTCTCTGTTTTGAAAAAAACATTTTCCTAACTGACACAGTACAATTCTAATACATCTGATACCTAACTTGTATCTAGTGTAGCACTGACACATTGTAAAGAGGGGGGGGGAGAAATATTTTCCTAACTGACACAGTGCAATTCTAATACATTTGGTACCTAACTTGTATCTAGTGTAGCTCTGACACATTGGAAAGGGGGGGGGGGGAAGAAGTCACCATGAACCATGAGCAAGAAACAAAACAAAACAAAAGGGGGGGGTCTCCATGACTCCTGAGCCAGAAAAGTTGGACAGGGTGCAGGGAAGGAGCATCAGTTATTGAAAGGGGGAGAAACTGGAGTGATCTGAAGTGCTGTCTGGATCTATTGCTCAAATAGATCACACTGAAGACAATAGCCTTTTAAGTGTGAACCAAATTGCTTCAACTTCCAATGTCTAGTCTTGCTCTATGTTTGTTATTGCATTAATGATTGTTTTCATTTTTAATATCTTTCTCTGTATTGTGTTAAACGGCTTGGATTTTAAGTCATTTCCCATTAGCTACTGAGAAAAGCTGGTAGAAAAGCAGAACAGAATTTTTTAAAATAAATAAACAAAAAATTCTTGCTCAACTGCATATTTTCCCTTGAAATCCACTCCTTTGATTTTCACACAGTGTATGGATGCTGTCATCTTCTACGTGTTTTTGTAGAAGTTGTAAAATTCTTCTTAGCTGGCAGTGTAGTCTATGATGGATGGATGGATGTATTGGAAAGTGTTAATTTCCCTGTTAACAAAGAAAATAATTGTCTGCTGATGAAATCCTGCACATATCACCATGGGGAAAAATAGGTTCTCAAGCATGTAATAGAATCTGTCTCCTTTATTGCTATGTGTCATCATATCACTTCCAAACTATGATGACTCTATGATTCCCAAAAGATCCTATCATTCCAAAAGCCCTGCTCATGTTTAATGTAGACACAACTGGCCCAAGACATTTTGCTGCCTTAGGTCAAGGACAAGATGACATACCTTTCATTATAGGTGGAAATGTGACTGGAATGTCAGCTAAACCTTACTTCAACCCTACCAGTGGGATAGCTTCCTCCACCATCAGAAGACAGCAGGCTAGATTATAGGGGAAGTAGAGCAGGGCATGTGGAATGTAGAGCATAGTCCTTCAGGAGGAAGAAATTGGCTCTAGGGATCTGGTGGAATAGCCTCAGAATCGCACTGCTGCCCCCAGGACATGTCACCAAAATGGCTGCCTAACTTTGCCTAATGTTAGGGTTGGGTCTGGTTATCTAGATTCATGGTTTTGGAAAAGGAACAAGGTCAAAAGTTACTACATGCAGTTTTGTAATGACGTTTTCTCAATGTTCAAGTGAAGCTGTTTTCTAGTGGAGAATATAGCTGGTGAGCAGCAAGTTATTATTCCTTTCTTCCATGTGGAGTCTGCCTTATAGACATGTAACACTTAAGACTGAGCCTCTGAGGCCTTAATATGAATGGAAGGAAGAAGTTTGAGTAGCTATTTTACCTTTCATAATGTTTAGGTGATGAGAGAAATTAAGCATACCAGCAATTTTCTTTTGGTATACCAATGGATAGACAGAAGCATAGAGCAACAGCTAGATGGATAGACAGAAATATAGCTACACAATGGATAGATATTAAAATCTGTAAATATACCTGGTCCCACATCGAATTAGGCATCCATAGGAAATAATATTTGCCTCACTCTGAAGGTGGATTAAAAAGTTCACCATAAGGAAGAGATGCTTCAGTGGAATATTACCTGTTAATGCCCACCATCCACCTCATTAAACATTTATGCTTGATCAGTACCTGTTAATGCCCACCATCCACCTCATTTTAGAGCAGGGCACAGAATCCAGTTTAAACATTTATGCTTGATCATCTGGTTGACATGGTATATGGATTTCAAGCTTTTTTATGAATTAAGAACCAACAACCATTTGTGCCTGGAAATAGATCAGAGACTGAAATGGATGAATCCTGTGCCCAAATGGATTCTGACTTACCGCAACCCTTGCCAGGTTTTCTTGGGTATAAAGTACTCAGAAGCAGTTCTCCAGTCACTTCTTCTGAGGGAACTCTCAGACTGTATAGCTTGCCAAATAACACAAAGGTTGACTTTTCTCCTGGAGGGCACAGTGGGGAACTAAACTCCCACTCCTCACTCCACAGCCAAGTGTCCACCTCACTGATCTACAGTATCTGATACAGTTTTTCTAAAACTAGAAAGACAAACTCAATACAATTACAGTGGTGCCCCGCATGACAACGATAATCCGTCCCGTGAAAATCGCTGTTTAGCAAAATCGTCGTCATGCGAAAACTCTTTCCCCATTGGAATGCATTGAAACCCAGTTTAATGCGTTCCAATGGGGAAAATACCTCATCATCCAGTGAAGATCGCCCATAGGGAAGCCATTTTGCGAGCGCTGATCAGCTGTAAAAATGGCTGCCCTGTGAAGCATGGGTCTGGAAAACACAGGGCAGCCATTTTGTGAAGCTGAAAAAAAATCATCATTTTGCGAACAAACTGTTCGCGAAGAATGGACCTAATTGATGTCCAGCAAAAATCCCCCATTAGAATGACTGTTTTGCGAATCGCTATAGCAATCGCAAAAAGTCATCGTAATGCGGATTCGTCATTCAGCAGGGTCATCATTTAGTGAGGTACCACTGTATATCTACAGCTAGTAAGCATGCTGCTAAGGTTTTCATTGACTATAGTTTCTGAACAGTCTTTGAGATGGTCATACATATAACACATTGTAATAGTTTAAGATGAAGAATGGGTAACTGTGGGAAGTCTTTATCTTTTGTGTCTTGAAGGAGTCACAGTCGATAATATATAAGTTCTTCTGCAACCATTGGTCTTCTGTGCTTGATGTACTTGTTCAATTTTAAAAACGTGCACTAATGTAACCTCTACTTGCACATGCCACTTCAGTCATCCTCTGAAGAAATCATAACGTGCATACCTAACAATGTGCATAACTAACAATGGCTTTTTAATGTAGCTGAGCATTGTATATTCTTATTTACTCATCACAGGCAAGAATCCAATTGAAAAAGAAAAGTTGGAGTAATTCCATCAGGATAAGTTATGATGTGATTTGCTAAAAGTAAAGAACCCAGTGTCAGTATTTGCTCTTGGTCACTGAGTCACAGAATTGTTATATAACAGCAATAGCTATTCCTGACTTCTTAACCAGTGGCAGTGTACAGCTGAGATTTACACCAGTAGAATTCTGCTGGCAAGCAGAACTAACGTGATTCTAGTCTGGCCATTATCTTCCAGGCAACTATAGCCCTCCAATTCTATTTGGCCTACAGTTCCTAGCAAGCTTAATCTAGCGCAACCAATGGAGAGGCATTAGAAGAGTTCCAATCCAGTAACATCTGGTGCCCATAACTGCCCACTCCCCACTCTAAAGGGAAAATAAAGTAGGAGGGAATTTACACAGTAGTCCAAGGTACTTCATCTCCACTCTTAGTGTGGAGGAAGGCAATGACAAGTCCCAAAACAAAGCCCCCAAAGCACCTCACAACTTAATGCAAACCAACAACACAAACCCAGAAAATCTACCCAGAAATAAGCTGTATTCCATTCTGTCCTTTTGTCCTCATCTTTTTTTACATTTATTTCTTATCTTCTGATTTTAACTCTGTCCCTTTCCTATAATCCTTGATGCAGTAGCCCCACTTAGTTACAACTTGGCTATTTTGTACTGCATTGTTCTTTGCCCCCGGCTCCTGGGGTTTTGCTGCACTCCTGTGCTAAGGTGGGGAGTATGAGGAAGTTGCTCATATCTCTAGGATACTGAAGGCATTCAGTGTGGCTATGCTTCCTCCCTGAAGACTAGGCAGGTATAGAAGTGGGCCTCTCTGTGCATTGTTCTTTGTATCGCTCCCCCCCCACCACTTTTCTCTCCTTAACCACCCTCCTGGGCACATGTTTGAATCCTAGGTGAAGAGTTACATACACTAAATTATAGCCCTAAATTGCATTCAAGGCTCCTTTAAATGGCATTGTTCCTTTGTTCACATTTACCTTTAAAAAGAAAGGGTATGTGTGATGCACTTACGTGCACACAATAGTTATTATGTATGTAGACACGTGTCTTGGGTCCTTTGAAGGAGAAAGGCAGGGAATGAATGAATGAATGAATGAATGAATGAATGAATGAATGAATGAATGAATGAATAAATAAATAAATAAATAAATAAATAAAATCCTCCCCTGCCCCGTGTATGAGCTGAATCTCAATGATATCATGGGAACTTACCTTACATAGAAACCAAAAATGAAAAATCAAAATTGTGTGTGAGGACCAGAAGCGTGGGGAATGATTCTTTAAATAATTAAACATGACCATCCTGGCTTATCTTTAATTAATGACAAAGTAAAATCCAAGCACCTAGAGAGCCTCGAGATATTGTTCTACAATTTTATTACAACCTGTCTTTAATTGTTTTATTTGGAAATTATTTATCTCCCTTCGTTTGGAGAATCTCTTCTGAGACCCTTTACACAAGCACTGCAACCAGTAGCTCCTGAAGCCCTGTTAACCCTTGGGAATTGCTTTGCACATTACGTTTAAGAATTAAACAACACGCTCTTGTGTTCCTGAATAGAATTTATATTGCTATTTGGTTCTTGTGAGACAGGAGCTATGAAAATAGGCAAGTACTTGCCCCACCGCCCCAAACATACAGGAAACTGAAAGGTCATACTAGGACTGAGTATGAAACAGAGAGAATCTCCACTGTCAATCTTAAAAGAAGACATTTGTGTTTGATGAATCATAGCATATGTTTGACATCCATAGCAACTGGGCTTGGCAACTGTGCGGGAGAACTAAGTATATTTCAATTTTTCTACTACACAGCAAATTAAAAAGAATGCCATAGTTAAACTGGTAGATTCATCCACATTTGCCATCCTATAAATACTGATGAGACATATACTGCTTCTGTGATGCGTCATTTAAAGTCCTTTTTTACTCACCTTGGGTCAAGATCCAGCAAGTTTCAAGTCTGCACTCTCTGACTTAGAGAACTATGTTGAAGCAAGGCCACTGGCTGCATGGAAAAGAAAAGTATAAAGGGTACAGGTTATAGCTTGCAGTTCTAATTGGAATGCCAGGAGAAGATTAGTCATAGCACTTTGTTAAGAACAGCTAGTGAACAACTTTTTGATACAGCATTGTTTTTATGGGCCCTAAACCTAAGATTCAGGACATAAAACTTCCTCACCTTATCCTGACTTCTAAACAGGCTTATTCAGGACATAAAACTTCCTCACCTTATCATAAACAGACTAGCTCCATGGTTTAGGTATCTGGATGCAGAGAGAGAGGTTGGGAGTTCACTATCCCACTGTGCCTCCTGCAAGTAGATCCAGCCTGTGTGATCCTTGGCAAGATATACACTCCCAGGACACCTCCAGAAGAAGGGAATGGTAAACCACTTGTGTGTATTTTGTACCTAGAAAATCCTGGAAAGGGTCTTCATCACCCTAAGTCAGAACTGGCTTGACAGTACAAAACCATTAGTGGTGCCTCGCTTAACGAGGATAATCCGTTCCAGCGAAATCGCTGTAGAGCGAAATCCTCATTAAGCAAAATCCAAAATCCCATTGAAACACATTGAAAACTCATTCAATTCATTCCAATGGGCTAAAAACTCACCGTCCAGCGAAGATCCTCCATAGGGGCGGCCATTTTCGGTGCCTGTAAAGTGAGGAATCCGTCCAAAAACACAGTGGGGAGCCAAAAACACAGTGGGGAGCAGGTGGCCATTTTGAAGCTGCTGATCAGTTGTTTTAAAAATATTGTCTAGCGAAAAATCCGTTCCCAAAGCAGGGAACCGATCGTCAGGAAGCGAATTTTGCCTATTAAAACATTGTTTTGCAATTGCAAAAGCGATTGCAAAACAGTCATCGTATAGCGGTTTAGTTGTTTAACAAGGCAATCATTAAGTGTATTATTAAACAGACTACACCAATATGTTGTGGACAATGTGATTCATTGTATCTAACAATCACTACTTACAGAACTCAGGCTGAAAATGTTGAATGGTCATTTCCAGGGTCTTCAGCCTGCAAACTTGTGAAATTTGTCTTCCATTTCTTAATGGTTGGAAGAGAATGATTTGTAAATTGGAACCAATTTTTAGTCATGTATTTTTAGGAGCCTGGTCTTAGAAGAAATTGCACTGAGGCAAAAGTGCATAAGGACAAGCATCAAATTGGGTCACAGGTTCAAATGCAGTATTCTCCAGTTGTGATGGGTCAATCATATCATAATTTCAAATGGGTTTTGTTGAAGGAAATGAATTGCAGATACATTATCCCTTGGACAAAATCCCCTTTGTCATTCGAAGGCATAGGTTTTCTTTAAGGACTGAAATGTTCAAAAATGTATTCTTCAATTTCACTGCATTCCTTGTAGGTAGTCATGTATTCCACCTAAATTTTTAGTGGTGAAGAGAAGAGTTATTTAGATTTAACTAGGGATGTGCATGGTGAAAATTATCATTTTAAATGGGTTCTTTTGTTTTGTTTTTGTTTTTTTAGGTAATGGCCCTCATCTGTGTTTCCTAGCACTCCTAAAGCTCTTAAAAACCCCTTAAAACTAATTCCAAAAATGCAGAGACAAGGCAACAAAGAACCAATGTACTCCAAATTGCCTAAATAAATCAGGAGAACTTTCTGAAAAGTTATCCCAAAGAGGTAAGCTGACACAGGCAGGCTGTCTGGCATAAGCAAAAATTGGATACAGACCTCACAATCTATTGGATGAAAAATTTCTCAGGAAATTTGACATACAAATGGTGAAAGAAAGGTTACACAAAAGAAGAGACATGTAAGAAATACAATACTCATGTACATGACATCATTTGTGATTAATGTTCTCTTTCATCAATAATCAAAAAGAAGAAATACACGAGAGTCCTTTTTGTGTTTTGGATCTTTTGTTAAAATTCAAGTGGCTCATTCCTTGATCTCAAATTTCCTTTATTGCTTAAAAACTTAAGAAATGTGTTTTTGTGGTTGTTAATCCTGCTTCACCCTCAAATAGCTCAATTACATGAACTAAACCTGAATAGCCCGTGATCCAACTGGAGGTGAGCATCTGGAATGTTTGGACCACAAGCCACCAGTGATATGCCTACCCAAGATGCAAATTTTCAAGAGTGTGTAGCAGCTGAAGATACTCACTTCCTAGTATTAGGTCCATCATAAACCTGGACCACATTTATGTGATAAACTGTTAAGGTGTTTTGTAGTATCCAAAGGATTTTATTTTATGCATTATCTCTGTAGCCTTCACACAAATTTTTAATGCTATTCACATCATATTGCAGATGTTGGTCTTGGGACTGAGAGAATCACTTTCCTTGAGCCAAGAGGTAAATGTGTCTCTGAGCTAAGAGTCCACTGGAGAGGTTCAAAGCTCACAGTATCTCATAGCCAATGGAATTCTGAACCTTGCAGAATTTATGTAAAAGGAAGTGATGAATTCACTGTTTGCGCCTGCATTATAAAAAAAATCAGTGTTGTGTTGTTCAGTTCTTTTGTGTTTTGAAATAGGATTTCTTGTCTAGCTTGTTTCAGGGTATGTTCAGCTACAATCACTATGTTATATCACACAGGGAAGCCATTGAAATCCACAAACACCAGCATAGCTTCAACAAAAAAGAAGAAAGTCTAAAAACCAACAAAGCCTGGCTCCTGAAAAACACAGCCTGCAAAAAGGTCAACAAAATCTACCCAGCCACAAGGACTGGTGATCACTGCACACAAAAGACTAGCTAATGACACACATCAACCACAACGACAGATCATCTCCCCCCTTAGCACAATAAAACACCCATAACAAAAAAAACACCCTGAACACATGAATCACCCAATTTTCTGAAAAGAAAAAAAAAAACACCCTGATCACAGGAATCACCCAATTTCCTGAAAAGAAAAAAAAGATCCCATAGCTACAAATGCTCAACAATCCCACACACTACACCAGAAATTCTAGCTCCTGTCTTCTGAAGATGCCGGCCACAGAGACTGGCAAAACATTAGGAAGAAAAACTTCCAGAACATAGCCAACCAGCCCAAAAAAACTACAACAACCATTGGATCCAGGTCATGAAAGCCTTCGAGAACACAAGAAGTGTGATTCTTCTTACCCTTATTGCTTGAATAAATTATAGTTGAAAATAATGTATTAATAATTTAAGAAGATCATAGACACAGTTCATGCTGTGTTGTGACAGGACCAGCAAGGACTATTGAGTTTGCAAGCAGAATTTCTTTAATATGGAAGATCAAGATTTTTTTTTCTTCTTAGAAGCTACGCTGAAAATCCAGGTATGATAGCCAGAAGGCCAACAGAGAGATAACAATTGTTCTTTAAACTGATCATTTGGGAAAATGGCCACCCATCTTCTGACACTAGAATTAGGATGGAGTGGGGGTGAGGACTAGAGAGGAACACAAACAACTGTTTTACCAAAATGGTAAACATGAGAAAACATTCTTGTTTGATAAGACCCTCAACTTTTCTTACCATGGAATTGTGTTGTAGGAAAAACATACACCATGATTTCAATAATATAGGTTGCAGTGGAAAACCTTAACAAGGCAAGTTGGTTGTCTACATATATATACACTTCCATATATATATGTCACTGACCACTAACTGTTATGTATATGCAGAGAATGAGGATGCAGTCCTAAATAGTATAATTCTGTGTACATTTGACAGCAAAAATACAACACTCAGATGCATCACCGAAAGAAGTATATTTTTCTCAGGCAATGTGTTGTGACAAAAGAGGAGCCATGTATGTTTAAATGTAGATTTCACAGCTTAACCATCTTGCATGTTGTAGGTCTGCTATCATTTTATGAATGTGCTAAATGTCTTGCTGTAGGAAAAGAGGTTGATTGTATTGTAACATCTGTATGACATAAAAGTCCCGAGGCGAACACCTGAGTGGCATATATATTCTTTTGCAGGGGGAAAATATTACTATTACAACCTAATAGAACAACATACCTCCTGTTTCCTGAACAACCAGGTACTTTGCCTTTCATAAATAAATTCAGGGGAAAAGGTTGAAAAATAAATTCAGGGGAAAAGGTTGAAAGACCTTCAAGTGATTATTCTCCAGCTGTTTGGTGTCTGGATTTACAGTGGACAATTTCAAGCATTGTTGTGGCCCTGAACTTTCATATATGTGACACTGGAACCCTGTAGAACAACTAAATAACTTATATATGTGACACTGGAACCCTGTAGAACAACTAAATAACTTGATTTCATTTACCGTAGTTGAAATTTAGAGATCAGGATAGGTAGAATTTCAGGACCACAGAGGCTGCTTTCCCACAAACTATGAAAGCCTGGGAGAGATGGCTAGATTAGAACTTTTCTTGATATCCTCAGAGTTTGGAAGTAATTAACTAATCAGCTACTTTAGGGATGTGTGATAAGTGCTTGCAAAATGCCTCATTCTCTGCAATTTTTCATTTTTACCATGCCAAGACCTGTCACTGAGACATTCTCCCTGCTCCCTGGGAAGATGAGATCCTTATCTTGTTAACTTGATTGGCAGAATACTTTTTTCCCCTCATACAAACTGACAAATTCTATGCCACTGCCTTTTTTGGTGAATCCTACAGAGAAAATATGGCAACTTATGCAGGGATTTTAGCACTCTTGTGTAGCTTGCCATCACTTCTGCCTTGTTTGGTAAATCCTGTGCAGAAAAGATGCAATTCTATGCAGCCCTCAAAATGCATGGCTGACTCTCCTTTTTTTCCCCAGAAAAAGATGGCCGTGGAACTTCTACAAAATCCTGTGAAAATTTCCAGGAAAAAAAAAAATCTCACACAGAGAGATCTCACCACAAAAAGAGAAGTAAAATGCAGAGTGAGAAGCAGAGAACATCACATCCTTAAGCTTCATTACAGACCATTAATTCCTTTTTCCAGTATTGAAGATGCAACTACCATTCTGATTGATCCTTAATGTGGCATACCTGCATGCCATTCCAGATTTAACTGTAATTT